TTCACTAGAAGCGTCTTGTAGTCAACGATAGGGTGTAACGGCTAGTCTTTAGGATTTTCGACTTTACCCTTTTTCCTAGAACTACCGAAATGTTCAGACTTTCTTTTCCTTTGTCAAGGCTCTTTTCATTCTGAAAGCAATACTGGTTTGATTTAGAGAGACTACATACAAGAGGAAATGAATAAAATTGTCGTTTACATCACAAGCTGTGGTATCGTCCACGGAGTATGGGAGAGATGCAAAGACACGGTATTAAAAACGGATTTCTCTAGAATATATCTATTTGAGACTTTTAAGTTCACTGCTTTTTTATACTTTAAGGTTGAACTGTTGAAAGCACTGAGAATCAAGGCAGAGATTCGCGATCTCTATATAGACCCCTCTTTCGCAGACGAATTGGTGGATCGAATGAGACTGCATCCGGTAACACTTGCTGATCATCTATGTTCAATCCTTAAGATATATAGGCACCACGTTTATAGGACGATAGAGAACTTGTTTACGATAGCTTGCCAATGGTTTACGTCAACGGAAAATACTTTGGAGTAAGTTGTTCTTTTGTCCTTTTATGGCCAATATTCGCTAGTTGGAGTACTTCGTTCCAAGAATTTGTAATACGGTTTGATTCTCGTAATTCTGTTTGTATTTAATTACTATTTAATTACAACGAAGCAATGCCAATTATCCATGGTCGCACTATTACCCATTGGAAGATTAAGATGTTTTGATTACAAGATTTATCAAATCACTCATTCGTAGTTGTGAGAAAATAGTGTACTGTGTACATTATCTTCGAGGCTCAATAACATTGCAAGTCTAAAAGCTTGCGTTGTCAGCAATCCCTCTTGATGTCACATTACTGTCACCTAATAGTTTTAAAAATGTGGTTTAGATAAGACTCCAGAGGAATATCTATGTTATCTTGTTACTGCTTCCACAAAATCTTCAGTGTTCCTTTTTACTCGTAAATTCCTGAACTTGCTACTTCAATCTCCCCTTGTTAATAGCAAACGGATAAGCAATCCTTCAATCACATTTATGGCATATATGGATTATGGGTGTATGGATTATATATTCATATATGGATTATCTCCAAACCAAGTCCTCTTAAACATGCCACCCTTCAGCTTCCCTAGATATACCAACAATCCCTCTTGCTTCTGCAGTTTTACATTTTGACGCAAAGAAGTTCTTCATTTATGAGGAGGCCGAACAGTAACGTGAGCATTGATGAGCATTGACCTTTTTCATAGTTAAGGTTCCACTATATTGATAATGTACAAAAAATGATAGAATAATAAACTCTCTTTTGTTATCTTCCCCAAATAATGACCAGAGAGCATTCACAGTTACGAAAGCTTTATGGTTTTCTGCTTATGTATAAAAGGTCGTTCATTTTCAGAACGATGCTACTTTATTTCAAGAAAACGAAAACAAGAATCTTGTAGACATGCTTCGCGACTTTCAGGTATTTCTTTTTTACCTTTTTCATGAGGTTTCAACAATTTTTGAGCACGGAAATTATAAAATGTGCGCCTCTTACAATTATTGACCTTGCAGTATTGAAAGGGAAGGGAAGAGTTCTAGGGAAAGAGATCGGTTAAATTACTTACAAAGCTTATTCAGGGCCGTCAAGACTGCTCTACGTGTAATGGCTTTGGCTACACAGTCTGCTCGTTCTGCCGTGGTGGAAAAAAGTCCCGTGAGACATTTCGAGTACGACTCCGATGCGCCCACTGTGACCGTAATGGTATAGCACCTTGCTCGGGTTGTTCACCATGCAGAACAAGATCTTCTCCTTGCTAACTGTCGCTCTTGTACCTTTAAGACAATTTCAGAACTCTGTTTAGCTAAGAAGATATGATTCACTCTCTATTTTCGCCTGCTCCGCTCCACTCAGGTTTTCCTCAAATAAATTTAATTGGAACTTTTTATCTTGTAGCAACGATGACTCTGCTACAAATTGAAGGTAGCTCATTGATTTGGTGCCATTGAATTTCAAACAATGGAGGATCTTTTCAGCTCGTCATTGGAACTTATGTCGGGTTTACAAAATGTATTTAATAAATGAAAAGGGACATTATGAGGAACCAAAAAGAGTTTTCTCGGAGGAGACCTCAGATATTCCACTGGTCAAAGTGATGACTTACAGGGAGATACGGCAATTTCCCATTCCTATCGATTATCAAAGATTTGCTATACTACTCCTTGCTCCTTGTCAAGCCTATTCCTATGAATGTTTGTGTGTTACTCCAACACATTAGGTAATTTGCAAAACATTCTGGTGTTTTCAAAGGTTTAGTATACGACTTCTTGTCTTACTGCACATTACATACCACATTTTGTGGCAGCTCACCGCCTACATGTACGGAAGATAGATTTTAGCAGACTGTTAATGATGGTGTAAACTTACTGCCAATTTTGTTACCTCTGCTTTTTTGGAGCAGACTTTTGACATTGGTTGTTGGTTGCTGAAAAGGTGCTCATGGTGGATGGGGATCATGGAAGGATAATGTTAGAAAAGTCGAAATA